CAAATTCCAGGCTTTCCAATTCCATTCTCCTCCCGCTACCCCCACGGCCCCACCACTGAAACATTATCTCCCCAGAACCCACTTCCACTGAAAAGAAGCATTCATGGTTCCATTTGGGTTTCGCCGGAGTTGCTCACCGATCATGGGTGTTGCTGGTAAAGAAAACTGCTAAAATACTCCGTCGAGAGCTTGAAAGAATTCATGTGATCGGAATCGCTACTAGTCTTCACCTTCCCACCGTTCACAGTCGAGTAGAAGATTTCAATCCTGGAGGTGCGATTTCCCATCCTCGGAACCAGTTTCCGATTAGTCTCTTATATTTTACCTTAATTTGAATCATCGTGCTCTCCGTGTTGACTTCCCATGGGCTGGTTCATAGCCTCATAGGTGATCAATGGAGGTTTCAGTGATTTAGAATGTTTGGATTTAGTATTTTGCCATCTTCTTTTTGTGTAGGCTTAATTGATTTCATAAAGCTTTGACTGATTAGGTGGATTTTAAAGGGAACCTGATTCCAAACTTGAAAGCGCCAATAACTCAAATGAGAAACCAGTTGAGTCTAATTTATTTTCGGATCCTGTTCCTGTTGATAACAAAAGGAAAACAACCTTGGAGGACTCACCTGGTGATGCATCCATATTCTGTAGTTGGCAATGATGCGTGAACTCATTTACCTCTCCTGTAATGTGATTAGGCGAAACTTAGATCTAGATTAGCTAGAGGAGTATGTCATTTTGTATGCAGCTGAGAGATGCGATGATATCTTTGAGTCAGGGCTAACATGTGAGTTTCGGGTGATGGGTGTTGTTTATCGTCTTGATATGTTGCGAATGGTGTCTGATCTGGAGGGTCGATAGTTTCGGGTTGGTGGAAGGTCTCGATCTTTCTGGATTTTGGGGTTCACCCACTCAGTAATTTTATCAAACACGTTAGATGCATCATAGGGAGTGGAGTACGGAGTACTGAAAATATGGTGAGATCAGAGCTGGTCTGGTAACCGAAGCCGCATCTTTTGATTGAGTTTCTTCGTTGTAACCTTGGGATCGAGTTAAGTTATCAAGAGCTGGGTGACTAGCGTAAAAAGCCATTGCTGCTTCTTCAAAGATGAATCTGTGCTTTGTTTTCATCAAAATCTTGGATCCCGGTGGGGAAAAGGGGAGATGATAATGTGATGGATCTTATTAGAATTGGGAATGCATCTTATTAGAATCAGAATCTTAGCATGATGGAAAAAGGTTTTATCTTTGAAGCTTGTGAAACTTAGTCTACTTGTGAGGGATGAAAAAGGGTTTATCTTCGTAAATCTCTGTGCTGGAGCATCGAGTGAAGAACATGGAGCCCATTGCGCTTGCGTCTTCTCATCATGCTCCAAACATCAACTGCCTTCTTAGCTCTTAATGGACATTGAGGTACAACCCATTCTTATGTCTATCTTTGCGATGCATACATGCAAATTCAATTAACATAGTAGCGTTATGTTGTGAACATGTTACCAACATTTTAGCCTGTTGTTGATTGAATGACTGTCTGTCGCCTTTTAAATTTGAACAAAATTCATGGGTTTACTTTCTTCTTTGCTTCTTAATGCTTTTTCTATTTGTCTCCGTCAATCTATGAATTTGTTCTTTTGAATTGAGCAGCAAGGCAATTATTCTGCAACTCGACAAGAAGTCTCAACAAGTTTTGTAAGTTAGTACCTACTACCTCCTATTGGTTGTGAATAGTAATGGATGGACTTTCCCATTAGCTTTTGTATAGAGGTTCTGTTATCATCATTAAAACACTGAAACTATGTCAGCTTTCTAACTACGCAGGCTGGTTCGAGTACTGTTGTGGGAAAGATTGAAGCAAAACTGTAGTAGAAAAGGGACTCTAATAAGGTGAATTCTGCTATACTCTCCTACTTACACAGTCAATTACTCATACTTTAGGCATTTACAGGATGCAAGATGGAATTTTGTATATCGATGAAGCAAGTCGGGTCAATTCTCCAATGCAAGAGGGAGTTCCGTTTGGCAGACATGTTCCACCCATCCGGGTATGTTCCATTCGTAAATGCTAAGTCGCATATATAAATGAAAGAGCAGTTATGCTGTTGTCCAGAAATACAATAATCTTTGTTCTTCAACGAATGTGGTAATTTATAAAAGTAAGCTGCCAACCAGCCCCGTGGAAAGGTAGATACATCTATTGTAAAGCTCCAAATCCAAATCCATTAAAAAACAGAAAGCTAAACAAACATAGATAGAGGCCAACTTCATGCTTAGTTGATGATGTTCTTTCCCCTACTATTATCTCTACGCTGTCTCCTCTTCTGTAACAGCAAACACAGAATATATAATCACACATTTAACCAATATATCATTATACTCGAACACATAATGTTACTGAAACGTACCTGTGGAGGCTCGTCAGTTGGAGGTTGCACACAAGTTTGTGGACGTTGACTTGGTTCTCCGCGCTCTCTGTTACCTTTAGTAGCACTTCTAGTACGTGGCATGGTCTGTTAAAAAAAATGCTCCATACTTGTCATATTTTCTCTTAAAGCTATTTACAACCCACACTAATTTAGAATGAATAGTTCAAGACATTAAGAACTGGATACTGTCATGCCACTGACCTTTTGGGGCTGGCTACCTTCTTCATCATTGTTGCCATCATCATCATCTTCTTCATTGGCCCCAGCATCATTCCAATCATTATCGACGTCGTCATCAGATGAAGGAGGTGTAGGTGGAGGGATGAAGCCTTCGGGTTCGGGACAAGTACTAATATAATGACCGTCTCTTTTCTTGCACCTACCACACCTTCTTGTTTTCAGTTTGGGCTGTTTTGTTCCTTTGCGTTTCCTACAACCTTTAAATGCTACTTTCTTTGGGTCTAGCACATCTTCGTACTCCTTGGGTATGACAATTGTCTTTCTCTGAGCTGGAGTTGTATGCATCATTTCTAGCTTGTCACGAACTGCTGTAAGACCCCGTTGTGCAACCTCAAAAGAGAGGGGAGAAGCTGCCCCTAGTAAGAAGAACCTCATCGCCTGAAACTGAAGTGTCCCATACCTAGTGTTGAAATCGTGATCATCCCCGATAATCTGTGGAAGTGGCATACTTTCAAACGACTTTGGGTTCTTGGACCATCGTTTTAGTACCAACTTTTCGGGAAGGTTCTTAACCTTTTCTTCTTTCAGCACAAACAACATGTGCGTGCATGGTATTCCCATACTAGTAAACTTACCACAGCTACACTCCATCTCATTTGTGTGAAGATTATATTTGACCTCCCGGACCTTATCATTGTTAAACATGGTGACACTGTAACTGTGTAAGTTCCCATCAACAATTTTGCTATTCTTGATGCATCCTTCCACTTGCAAGAGGCCACTTGTGAATTCAACAAAGGCTGCTTTAGAGAATAACTTAGCTGCACTTAGTTCTAGGGTCCTCAAGACAGTACTTTTGAGAGGAGGGACACCATAGTTAGATTCAAAATCTAATCTTAGCTCTGTTTCCCTGATGTCTCTACTCCAACGGTCATACTGAATGAAGAAATCCAGTAAACTATGTTTGTCTTCTACATACCTTGCAATATATGCGTTGATTCCCTCACATCTGGAGGTCGTTGTCAATCCAGCAAAGAAGTGAGATCGCATGTATGTCTCTGCCCATTCACTTCGTCTGTCAAACAAATATCTAGAAACCCATGAGTGGGTTTCTAGTGAACACTTTTCCAACAATGCCCTCCATTTCTCTTCAAATTCGTCTTCTTCATAGTCAGCAGTCACGAACTTGCTCCATCCAGGTTCAAATTCTGGTTTGTTCTTCACATTGCTTGTGATGTTCTTGGAGAGATGCCAAGCGCATAAGCGATGAGTTGCATGTGGGAAGACGTTTTGTATGGCATTCCGCATTGCTTTATCCCCATCTGTGACAACCGTATGAAGCACTTTCTCGCCCAACATTTCCTTCAGAATATTCAAAGCCCAATTGTAGCTTTCTTCGGTCTCGTTATCCAAGAGAGCACTTCCGAACAAACAAGATTTGAAATGGTGATTTATACCTAATAAGACATCGAGTGTTAATCGAACCATGTCAATTATTACAAAATAGAACAAAGTAAACAAACTTTTGCGAACATGGTATTTATTAAACTATAATAAATGACCAGGACACTGAAATGCACTAAAGCATAATTAAATTTCTTTGCTTAAGACATCAAGCATATACCGAATGATGAGGGGAAGATGATGATAAGTGTCCTACACCTGAGACTGCCAAATTATACTAAGATAGCAGAAACTACGTATGCCAATTTTTGTTAAGGGTAGGGGATGCTATAATTCCATTAGACACATGTGAAACCAGTACTGTGCCCAAGTGTGGGCGTCTGAGTCCTTACTAATAGTAGTAGCAGCACATCAATTATCAAAAAAGGAACACACCCATGTTGCACCCACCTTCAAAACACAGTAACAACCAAACTCTAGATATCCTACTTTAATTTATGAATGCTACTTTAACATTTAATAGTCAAATTTTGAAGGAACAAACTTTTCACCTGAAAATATGACAAGAGGCATGTTGTAGATGTTTTTCTTGTAAGTGGTGTCAAATGCCAGCAGATCCCCAAAGCATGAAAGATCAGCAATGCTCATGCTGTCTGCCCAAAATAGTTTCTGCAGTCTCTTTTCTTCGTCAACAGTGTGTCTAAAGATGAACTTAGTGTCCACACTTTTCTTTGATTCTAGATATGCAAGTGCTGTTGCAGCATCACCTGCACCGATCCTTTCCATGCGATCTAAGCTACTGAAGTTGTATCCATCTTTCTTTGTGTATCCAACCTTGTGAGGCCCTCCGGCAGTTTGAATAGCTAGATTTATTACTTCGGAAGGTTTCATGCCTGCGTTTTTTTTGAATCGAAAGTCCGCTTTATCTGCTTCCGTCAAACCTCTATGTGATCTCAAGTAGTGAGTACATTGTTTTCGAACTGGTTCATGAGAGTGTTGTACCTCAACTTTGTCAACAATCCATTTTTTATCCGCCTTGTTCAAAGCCACCTGTAGTTTTGCTTTGCATCCGAATCTCGTATTCATAGGAGATTCTCTCTTTTGCTCCCCTTTATGAGGGCGTCTATATCCCTCACAGGAACAGACATAAGTTGCTCTTGTAATATCTCCGTGAGTATTCTTTGCTTTCTTCTCGTGTCTGACAGAAAACCCCCAAGCCTTCGCGTAGTTATTATAGAACGTATAAGCTTCATCGTGACTATTGAACTTCCGACCGAGAAATTCTTCGGCTGTTAAGTTTCGCAATGCTTCATCCTCGTCCACTCCATTGTTAGGAGGAACACTTACACTGCCAGAATCCTCAGCTCTATCATCCTCCTCTCTACTTAAATCACCGCTGCTATTAGGAAGAGTTAGATCTATAGGCGGGACGTCCGTTCCCTCTGGAGGATAGTAATGGCTTCCCTCTGTTGTCATTGTTTGAAATGGGGCAGTTTTCCAGATTGGTTCCAAGTGAGAAAAATATATGCAGAGGAGGTATGTACTGGTGTTTCCCTCGTTCATATGTAACCGTTTCCATCTGGTTTGCATATTTTAGTATTTTAACTATTGAATTTAATTTTTCTAATTGCAGATCTGGTCCCGCCTAGGAACGGACCATCCAACAACCCTATCCAGTTGGACTCCTTAGATAGAAGGTGCCCTTAAATGAGGATAGGATCCGGGACTGCCGTTGGTTAGTGAAACAACTAATATTAATATTAGCTTATGTTGGTTAGTTAATTTATTATACCATAGTCGACTGTTGTAGCAAGGTTGACTATGTCAATGCACCTTTGACGGTATCATGATCTTTCTCCTTCCTAAGATTCGGCCTCCATCAAATGGGTATAGAAACAAATTGTATGGGTCCCTAATGAATCTCATGTTTTGCACACTTTTGCGATGCACTTATGTCTTTGGATGCCTCTTATGGTTGGTAACAAACTATTGATTGACTAGATACGGTGGCTGGAGAAATATCAGTTCCCTTTTTTACTCATATTCAGCATTGTCAGTTCAACCGATAGAATTTGTTAGTTCCATTAAAAGATGCTTTGTTTTTTATTCATATTTCAAACCTCTTATTTCCGTTCAACTGATTTCTACAAGGATTTGGTGAATCTCCAACCCGTAGGTACATATTTCTTTGACATTCTGTGGAGCATTATATAACTAGTGCTTGTTTTATTTAGCAGGCAAACCCATATCCACTTTTCGTATTCTTTCTTCCCTGCACATATTCTTGAATCCCATGGATAACGTGAAGAAATCAAGGACATCTGCCAGGTTTGATCTTCATTCCCATCTTCCTTCCTCTTCTAATTCCTTTGTTTTGGCCCTTGCATTTTTTGGTTTGTTATGTACGTTCTCATCCATGCCCTCTGTTATGATATTCATTGGATGCTAGGGAGTAGGGCCATAGCATTTGTACTGTACAAGGACTTCATTTCCCAGGGCAGACTTAGCTTTTACAATGTAACAACTTGATTTATTGTGTGTATTACCACAGTAGCACACCAATATAATTTCCAGAAATAATTTGTTTTCATCTCTTTCTAGCCTTTCTCTTTTGTCATGTGTGTTGTTTGAGGTTTTTATTTTTATTTTTTATGCATTATGGACTATTTTAATCCTACTGTATCCGCATGAATTCTCTCTTTGTAGTGCATCTTTCCCTAGTTTCATTGGAATTAGCACTAATAGTAGACTTATAGTGGCTTCACTGACATTTGTCTTCTAACTACAGGAATAAAGAAAGGAAGAAAACAAATTCAGCTGATCCTCTCCAAGAAAACAATGGGCCTGATGTAGTATGCTTGGGTACTACACCCATTACTCCCAGCAAAAGAAGAGCACGGACCAACTCAACTCTTGAAGAAGGGGGGCCATCTACTCCTCTACAGAGTCAACCAAAATCAGATTTCATTGACTCGAATGAAACAGAAAGGGATCCACAGGTTATTACTATCTGCAGTTGGTTTCCTTATGTTCCCTTTCATTGATCGATTTATGTGTACTCATCCCTCTGCTTCTGAATATTCAAAGTTCATATTCTACTTCCTCTATCATGCATTTATGTGTTCATTTAGTTTGCAATTCGCAACATATTTAGGACTGATGTGAATGTTTACACCTGTAATACTTAGGTTATAACATCAATGGAATTTCATATTCCAAGACACATTGAACTCAAGTTTGATGAACTTGTGGTGGCTTGTTATGCCTTCGGAAGAGGCCTATTAGAAGATGAAGTGTTGGTCCACAGTTTGGGAATTCAAGGTCAGCGAAAGGCGTTCATGAGCCTTTGTCCGGGGAAGGCATTAGCAGATGATGTGAGTTCCTGTTGTCAATTACATGATTCGACAATTGCTACTATTCCTAATCTAATATCCTTTTCGTTTGTGTATATTAGGTGCTGACAATGGTGTGCAGCTATCTAAGTCAGAAACAGTTGATGACGGAGAATGTGGAGATATGTTTCTTGCCGCCTGATTTTTCGGTAACGAGAATATGCTAGTTCTTTTGAAGTCCACATTTTTCTTTGACGTTCCTTATGAGTTTGCCCATTAATATATAAAAAGTAACTGTGATTTATGTCAACATTTGTAGGCATCTTTGATGACTGAAGATCTAACTTGTCAGGAAGCATTGGACAAATACCAATACTCATTTATGCAGATTTCCCCTCAGTGTAGCAAGGTTGTATCTTATTCTTGGTTGTTTTGGATTTAACAAATATCGTTTCTATTGGTTGGATTGTAATCGTGTGTATGTTATCAGGTTTACATCCCCATGAAGGACGAGAATGATTGGTTTTTATTGGTTGTGGATCTCAAGTCTAAAGAAGCAATCATCTTACAAGCTTTGTATTTGGACGATCGCACATCCATCCGGGAAGAAGCTGTCAAAACAATGGTAAGTGTTTCTGCTTTTATATACAACATTATGTTACTCTTTCTTTTATAATGGTGACAAAGTATTATTTGGAAAAGAATGCAAAAGTATAAAAGGTATGCAAAAATGATTGAGCTGCAACTTACACAACCGGCAGCAGCAATGGAAGAACAATGATAGAACACTTTTTGATGATTGATGTCTGTACTTTTCGCAATTTTGTTATTATTTATGCTGCTATTGACAACTGGTTGCTTTGTATTCCGTGTAGCTAACATTTTTAGACAAATTAGCCCCTTTGATGTGTTCGTGGGATGGAGATATACCTAAAATTTCCGAGTTTCACATTACAAAGCCTATAAGAAATTACTCTGCATTTGTGTAAGCACGTTTATCTTCTATTCTAGTTCCTATATTATAATTACTAGTCATTTGTCGTCTTCATCCATTTGATTGTATGTTTTTGTGGTGGGGTATAGTCGTGAAGATTCTGGAGCGTGGGTGTGCCAGTGGATGTTTCGTACAGAGTTGTTTGACAATTACGATGTTGCGGTAATATAATTTTTATTATCACTCTATTACAAATCTTATTGTTGTGCATGAACAACTCGTTTTGGCCTACAAGACCTAACCAAATAAAGTTTGTTGTTCGAGACAGTACGTTGATGAGGGAATTCGAATGAAGATTGCAGTGCGTTTGCTACTTTCGCCTTACAACATAAATCGAGCAACTACTCTGAAGCTGGCGCACAAATTTGCCCAAAACTGTCATCATATCATTGGACATTATTATGCAGCTCGGAAAGAAATGGAGGCGATAAAAGACCTTATCACTCGATAATGAGATAATTAAGTTACAACGTAGATTTTAATACTTGCTTCTACGATTTGCTTTGGACGATTTAGAATAATGGCTGGGTGCTATTTTACTGGGTTTTTCCTTTCGTAATACTTTTGGTTTGACTTTGTTGCAGTTTGCTTCTATTTCATACCTTGTGCCTTCGCAAATTTTTTAACTTTATGACTTTGGTTTCTTGTCTATTCCCATCTACTTCGTTTTGCTTCAAACAACTAGTGCGCAAGTCCTCCAAAAGTGATACTATAAGGTAGGTTGAAACAATACTTGCTACCATGCTTCTTGTCCCTAAACTTGCAGCTCATCTCGGTCAACTATTAGGTAGAACACAACTCTGTGGTTGTGCGCCAAATATTTACAAAATTTGCTCTTGCTTCCAACTTTAAGACATAGTAGTAAAGAACGCGGAGAATGTATGAAAGTGTCGAGTTCTGTGAAATCATATGCCAAATCAAGAATGTTACTGTTGTTAGTCAAAGGGAACTTACAACGATCATATGATAAATCCTAATGTTAAATGTAGCATTTACAATCAAAATTGAATAAATTGCTCAGCTTCTCCGATACATTAGGTGATGATTCAAAAGAATCCCATTTCAAGTGCACAAAACTTCACATTTTCTTCTTAACAGGAACCCGTGCCTGATTCAGAAAGAGTTAAATTGCTATTGAACAACTATTAAATGATAGATTTCCATCACTCCCTTGGAAACCATAAACCCTTGTTCTGCCAAGCAACTCCACAACAATAAGGAACAACGGCCACATCCAAAGCATTTAAGGGTTCAGGTCTCAGCATTCACCAACGAACATATCCGCACTAACTACACAATAATGTCAACCATTACAGAGACCCAAAACAAGTACCAACCCTACTCGAAAACAATTGACAACACTGAATACAGCTAAATCAACCTGGTAAGAAAACTTTATGCAATACTGCTAATCACACTCTCTAAAAGTATTGGAGCAATATGTGGATATCCACTCCTAAGCGGTATCAGCAACGCATGTACTTTCTTCAGGAATTGCACTTGACCAGCAAAAGTTCTTCTACACGGCTCCTCCAAAGCTCACTCACTATATTCATCCACAACCTTCCCCAAACTGCCACTGGGTTATCAGACCTTAACTGAGATAAAGGTAATGCTACAGATTGAGACAAACTCTCTTCTGCAAGATATCGTGACTGGAAACAGCTTGTAGAATGCTGAGGAAAATGAGCAATCAAAGAAGAAATGATCTCTGGAGTCTGCTATTTTTGTTATTGACTTCTAAAGGATTTTGAATATAATGTTCCCAGAGTAGACGCACACATTTGCAGGCACTTTAATTGCTTAGAGAAACCATATGTTGCCTGTTGTTCATGTTGGATAGTTATGAGATGATAGAAAAATCGGCCTACCCTACTAGCCTTCTCCAGGATGGCATCTTTGCAAAATATAAACAAGCCATTGTATATCCATAAATAGGCAAATCAATACAATTCTGTCATCAAGAAACTAACTGAAGCTTAAAACATTACTCTCCTAGCATATCATATCCCAAATATCTTAACTAGACTCCTACCCATCATCTTGGCATTTGATATACTGCGACTACTCCCACCATGACGGAAGCCAGCTCAGGTTAAAGCTACAAGCTTTCTCGAGAAAAGAACATGAACCCTGGTGAAACATTCATTCAACAAATTTCTTTTCATCTACTTAAACACCTAACACCATCAACTAACAAACAAAAGGGCAAAAAGCACTTCATATCGAAGAAAAGGAAACCATAGTTTGTGCACCCATACTTACCATCTCGTTAATTATGGCTTCCTCTTCATCTCCCCTCACTCCTTTTTTTTTGTGACACAATTTCCGAGTGCCCAAGCTAATTAACTGGCTATTCAACATTTGCAGCGATGACTGCCGATCGGAGACGAATCACATCAGGTTCAGGGACCGCCGTCCATCGGTGGGCCGGGTAAGAGAGGTTTTCACTCCTGACAAGCTTTGCGATGCGGAAGCCGTACCTTACAACCAGAAATTTCTCCAATTCCAACCATGACGCCCACTATTGCTCCCTCACAGACTCCTCCCATGACTTCACTTCTTCAGGATCTGTTGACAAAGATGTGGTCATCATCGGCGAGCGTCTACAGCAGCTTTGTAGCCGCCATCAAGGCAGCGTAGCTTGGCCTCAGAATCACAGTACCATCGGCGGCACCTACCTTAGCGTCTGGAGTTGAAATCGAGTTGTCGCCTTCGAACTATCTGAAGGAAGGAGATGAGTAGGGGGCATAGGCGAAGAAGAAGAACAAGATTTGCAGCGGAGATATATTTGAGCTTTTAACTGGGGAAGGAATGAAATATAAAAAAATTAGGGAAGGAATGAGCTTTTAATCGGAGGGGAAATTAGGGGCAAGAACACAAGGGTCTTGTCGATTTGAGCTTCTAATTGGGGAATGAATGAAATATAAAAAAATTCTCAACAACATAATATATGGGGGTGGAAAAGTATGATTGAAAGAAACAGGGTACTTTAATATAGAAATCAATGAAAATATTCGTTGGGGTACTAGAATGCGCGTATAAAATTTTCAGGAATTCATTTTGTAAATATAATTATCAATAAATAAAAATTTTTATTAGACTTAATAATACCCGTTAGATTAGATCAACGGTGCGAAAAACTTGGAGTATACTATGCGTCTGGAGTACACCAGTCTGACCCTTTAGTATAATATAAATTATCCCGTACTTAATGATTATGTTACATAAAGGGTTTATGATAAAGTTTATGTCGTAAGAATTCGGAGCCGGAGCCGATTGTGCTCGAGGAGAAGATGGAAATTTGAGTGGGGAAATTGGTAGCAGAAGAGGAGATTTTGGAGCAAGATGTGTTGGAGATATGCAGCATGATCGTGAGCGAGAGCGCGCGACGACGGCCAACGACGAGGACATCAAGCAGCTGAAGGCGGGGAGCAGGAGATATTCCCGAGCGGGGAAGATGTCCGCGACGAGGACGAATCGGGCGTTTCCTACGGTGGATTCGGGTCCGAGGAAGGATCAACGGGCGGTGGGGCGGTCTCCCACTCGGCGATCTTACCAGTCCCCGGTGAAGAGGAATTACTCCGCCTCCTGCGGCAGTGGGCAGGTGAGGATGATGGTTCGGGGAGACGGGTCCTAATCCGGGTGTAAGAAGACAGTTGAGACCCGACCTAAGTAGGAGGGACATTGGCGACAGCTCAGCGAGGAGATCGAGATCGCCTGCTACCCACAGATTTACTGCGGCGGTCGGTTCGGGTGCGGGTAACCGAAACGGGTTGGTGAAGAGGACGAATCAGTCGTCGGGTAAGGTAAGGAAGGATCCTACTGAATAAGTGCCAACGAGGCAACGAAAACCGTTGTAAGTTTTTAATGAATGTAATAATGAGGTGGAAAATATAAATTTTTATTTTATATTTTTTAATAACTTTTTAGTTGACACGTCACTAAGTTAACGGTCAACTTTGATAGTTGTCTGCCACATTAGGAAAAGTTAACGGACTTGGACGGAGAGTGAGCAAACGTGAACCGTTTCTGTAAACTGAAGTACCATCAATGGATTTAAATATTTCGAGTGACCAAACTTGAACGATTTTTGTAATGTCAATGACCAAACATGCAATTAACCCTTTTAGTTTATGAACCAAATTCAGGTCTCTTCTTTATTGGCGTGGCGGGTCTGTTTGATAATTTTTATAAAAAAAATAGAACGAATTGTAGCCGCCAGCAGGTCCATTTTCTTTAAGTGATATGAGAAGGGAAATTTCTTTTAATTAATAAGTTCTTTTTATCATGGTGGGTTTCAGTATTGATGTTGATGGCAATGGGGCGGGCGGGTATTTCAATATTCATGCCCGTCTTATGCTATTGTGTGTCGAGGCAGGTAAAATACGCATGAGCACGGAGCGAGGCGGGTCGACCTACTCTTACATGCTATTTGAAAAAGATATAGGTGAATTTTACTTTTTACGATAAAAAAGGGGAAAATACTTTATGAATGAAAAATAGTGATAATAGAATGGGCGATTGAGTCTAACAAGTTGAAAGATCGACTCTAACTAGTTGAGAAAAGTCAAAATAAGAGAAATATGTATAGATAACATAAGAAATTGGGATAAAATGGGACAAGAACGAGGCGGGACGGGGCGAAAGTAGATACTCATACCCCATCTGATTCTAGTGCGGGTCAAATAATACCCGACCCATCGCGAGTCAGGACGAGTTCAAATTGCCATCACTATACTTATGCTTCTTTGCATACAATCAGCTTCTTATAGTTGTAGGTGTGAAGTCGGGAGCTTTTTATTTTTTTTGGTAGTGAAGTCGGGAGCATATTTCATCAGAAATATATGATTATTTAATTTTTATAATGATTTAGTGGATTATATTTCATATTTTCCGGACTAAATTTCAAAGAAAATTGTACAGAAAAATTAAATTAATTGTACTCTATAAGATTATATTGTTTGAAGCAACATGATCTGTAGCAGTTCCTGAGCTTGGCAAAAGCTATTAAACAAGGGAGCTTTGCCCTCTTTATATGTCCTACTCAGAGTGTACAGTTAGTGGCGGATTCATCGGGTTTTACAATTTGGAAAAATGATTACTATTTCTTGATAGTAGTTTGCTTACAGGAAAATATTTAAGTAGAAGTGGGTACCCTTAAAATTCAGGGAAAATTTAGAAAAATTTTTTTGATAGTGATTTGAATTGGGGCACTACTACTATTAGTAAACATATTCTCAATTACACTACAAGTTGTGTTTTAAATTCAAATATAATAGTAAAATGTTATTCATATTCATAATTATTTTTAAAATCTAATGATTAAATCCAATTACAGGCTACCCTTGTTTAGTATGATATATCAAGAGAGATTTATTGAGCAGTGTATACACCAAATGCATTTTATAAATTTTTTTCCGAATATAAAACACGTCATGGACGTTTTCATATTTGTTATTAATTGGATATTTTATTTATTTAATAACAATTTAAATTTACTTTAATTTTGGAAAGAAGACACTTCTATATAAACTTCATGGAACCGCCACCGGGTATGGTATGGTGGCATGAAATTTAGTTAATATATCAAAATTCTCAATGAAAGAAAGTAT